TCTACGTACCGAACCAGGTCTCACAGTATTGACCAATGTATCCAGGTTTACACAGACACTCGTAAGAATCAGTACATTCATCGATACCACACGTGCCGCCATTTTGACAAGGAGAAGAAGCGCACACGGGTAAAACCTGAAAATGAAACATCACAACTTAATACAGAAATATTTCTAATGATAAATAATAATAAATAATAATTTGTACTTACGAAGTGCTCAGCGTCATAGTACGTAAAGCCTGGTTTGATGACGTAATCAGATGACGCAGAGGTCTTTGTGTGGTTACTCAGCTCATATACGTGGAGTGGAGAACCTGTTTCTTGGTAATTGTACGACTTACAACCATTAGTTTGAAGACATTGGTCAGCACAGTGGAAACGGGAAGTGACGTCATGGCTCGATATCACGTGACCACTCAGTGCTCGATCTGAGGTTTTGAAGAAAATTCAGCTAGTCAATTTTGAATTTATTTAAATCAAGAAGAAAATGAAAGTAGGTTTTGCTTTCTCTCATATTGAATCGATTACCTTTTTGCGCTTTCTTGAAAATTGCCATCTTTTTACAAGTGCCTCTGTAAGGACCGAGGGCATAGGACGCTACTGCGCATGTCAGAAATAGCAATAGGGAAAGGTTTGCTTTAGACATCAAGTGGACCTCTTCTGGATAAAAGACAAACAAAGCAATTACAGTCAAACCATGCAGTTCATGCGTTCCCATCGAGGTTAAAAGATTCAGTTTATTATTATTCGATTTCCATGTCGCTTTGAAACTTGCGTTAATGAAACGAATGTTTAAATTTCAATCCTGGCCTTTACCTCAAAACATCCAAATGTTAATATTTATTAATACGAACATTTACACATGATAAAAATACTTCAACGATATTTCAATTTGTGAAAGGACTCCTTGAACAAAACATCACACCACACAATTAACTTTAAAATGGTAGCATACAATGAAGAACTAAATAAATTTTTAATTCGATCACATATCACCGTTGCATGACTACGTTCTTATCAACCAATCACATTTAGTTTCACATGACACTACGTTTATAAATTAATAAACCGTTTTTCAAGGTTGCGTGCGCATCCAAATTTAAGGAAATTGACGGGCCACGATACCAAAACACGAGTATTATCATGCATTGTCATGGAATTTTTTTCGATAAGAATTCATAAAATGGATTCAATCTCCTCTTTAAATATTAAACTGGTTTTTCAATTTTACTGAATTTGCGTTTTTCAGTTTTGTGGCCCGTCAAGTTGGACGAAACCTTGAGAAAATGGTCTATTGAATGAGAAGAAAACAAAAAACACCAAGACAAAAACATTTTACGACTTAAGACTTTGCAAGAAATTTATTGAGGGAAAACTGCATAAAGAAGAATGAGAAATATAGAAAATACCACAAAGTGAGCTTAACTAAACCAATTCATACATCCATTTTCAACGATTGTGAATTACAAAATTGATATTTTTCTTGTTTGTTTTTAGCAAGTTTAATTCAAGACAGTGTTTTCCAAGAAACGAATTTTATCTTCGAGTGTTGAGAATATCTCTCACGAGCGAGTGCCGCGCGCCCATGACGCGATTACCTTATTGCAGGTAGAGAGTTTACAGAAATATCATAAAATAAACTTGATCTAAAATTAAGTCTATTTAAAACGAGCTATGACAAAAAATAATAAAAAAGTTGTGTATGCGAGTTTGTCCATTCGAAAACAAATTGGTTTGAAGCAAAATTTAACACTGTCTCGAATTGGATCAATTTAACATGATTAGGCATATCATAAGAGACCAACCATGAGTATGAACTTACCAGTACATTATGATTACAATACGTATCTTTAGACCAGCGAACAGGACTCCATATCCAAGATATCACCCCATAATTTATAACGCACAGCTTTTGAAGAGGCACAGATCCGTAGGATATTGAGGCCAACAAACTTTAAAGTTACGAAAACAAAATTTCCCTGACGACTAATAGGACTAATCATAGGGGTTCCATTGTTCATGGGTAACAACCAATTACACATGTAACACAAACCGAGGTGATTACGCTTATCTCTCAGCTTGAGACAACCATTTGGCCAATAAGCCACGTTTTAGCATACAGATCAAGAATTTCTTCATTCAACTTAATAAAAGTTGTTTGAATAGGTTTGTTATTAATTTTTACTGCTTACAATCCAACACATAAATCTTTCTCGAATTCGGCTTAAGTGACCACGAGACAATGGTACAGTCAAATCGAGGTAAAGCCTCACACAAGTTCATACATCAACCTCGACTTCCAGCCATTGTTTCTGATAGGCTCAAGCGAATTCGGGATTCGCTGATGGTTTTAGAAACCGTCTCCTCAAGTGAATTATATTTAATTTTGATTTTTGTTTTTTTCTCTCAAATTAGTGATATTCTATTCATTCCACTATTTATTCCTTTAAATTTTCGATTGTCGATAAAACACTGACGGTCAATATTTTCAAGATGGCGGCGAAAGCGAGAGAGGCTGTGGATGAGTATTTTGGTTCCCAAAGCACGCTGGGTCCAAGTTTTCGGGACCCATAAGTCCTTTCAGTCATTGTACCGTTACAGTCTCTAAGCGTGGAGACGGAACGGACGAGCGAGAGACTGTGGAAGAGTCTAGTGAAATGCCAGGTTTCTAAGCTAGATTAAAGATGGTGGACAGTTTCGTGTATGTATTTCTTTGTAATATCTTCAGTTTTGATCGACACTTTAAAGCTTTAAATGGCAGAAAAAATCACCCAAAAGAAATCTGTGCTCACCCCCAAAGGTAAGGTTACCAAATATGGATATAGAGTAGATGGCGACACGTACAACAGCCAATGTTCATTATTTTGTATCGGCCAAGATATTGCAGTATCATTTGAAATACAAGGAAAAACATACTGAGTGTCAAATCTATTAGTATGTAGTAAGTCTTTAGGTAAATATTATTTGATTTCATAATTGTCCATTCATTATTTATCGGAGGAAAGGAAAGAGGGCTATGGGTGAAAAAATAGATAAAAATAAATTGTCCCAACCCCTCATTAGTATTTCAACGCATTTAAAAACCCGTTCTTTATATAACCGAGATTGACTGACAGCGGTGAAAGACGACGCGTTAGCCGTAAACGCCACCCATGCTAAACAGTCCCACACAGCCTGTTTCATGTTTCAGTGACCTAACCCACTCCAGACTAGCGTTTGTGCGGACGTCTGAAGTTGGTCAGGCCATGTCGCAGAAACGTAAGATGGGCTGTAATGCAATACGTGGCAAATTAGTTATTTTGGGGTTAGTCATGTTTACACATCCATTTTTGGATCGAAAAATTCCTTATGGCCATTCATGTATACATTTTTGGGGCATAACTTTTTATTCGGCTTTCATTGATAGTAATATAACTTCTCACAAGTTAACGGAAAATATTCAAAAATATAAGAATAAATTAAGCCATTTTTAGGTGGTCTACATCAATGTTGTCACCTTCGTCAGACTTGACTAAGTTATGCTAGTGATAAACACATGAAACTTGACTGAAAAATATATCGCCTAGTCAAAACCAGGGTTTTAGAGTATCACTTATATTATTCCTTCTGTCATGCGTTTGCTTTTAAAATGATGTCTATGTAAACATGTCATGTGTTGTGAATGGCTAAAAGTTTCCAAGATTGGGATACAATCATTTTTGGGCTTCCTGTGTATTGCGAATCCTGAATAGACCTTTATACTTATATGGCAGCCATATTGAATTCTATTATTTTCAGTAAGATATCATGGGATGCCAAGGGAGCTTCTCTTTTATAGACAACACAGCTGTCAGGGTGTCTTTTTATTTACCTTTACGTTATCCATTATGAAACACATTTAAAAATCAATTGAATTTGCTGGTAGTTGGAGTGATATGTAAAACACCAAAGTGTAAAAACATTTGTAAAAGTAACTTCGCCACTCTATGCTTTATAAATATTTCTACTTCATTCTTCTGGGTATCCCATGATTTAAGATGGCTGCCATATCAGTAAAAAGGTCTATTTGTGTTTCACCTTCCTCTCTTGTGTGGAATAGTGAGAATAAGAGAAAAATATCAAATGACCTTGCCCTTGTGTGGAATGTTCATCAGCTGAATCGCACGTCTTCAGTAGACTTCTTTCTTGTTGACAGCGTGCATGCACAATTGTAGCATATAATAAGATAAGGTTTTTATCAGCTGATTGAATCCTAGTAATTCTATCGAGCTGTGAATTATAAAGTAAATGTTTCTATATAACGTGGGTGCAATTTTTAGGATACTTGTGTATCATAGGAATCCCACTTATATTAATAATTAATACCAAAATTAATAAATTATTAATTATTAATAAATTAGTAATAAATTAGTAATTATTACTAATTTATTAATTCATTTGTTAATAACCTAAGATCTTACAATTCGATCTCGTTCGATCACTGCGAGATGTTAAAAATATATTGAAAGAATATTCGGAAGTAGGCAGTCCTCCAACCTTTTGGACAATTCCATAGTATGACATGCAGTGTGCTAGAAGTCGCTACTTCTTACATATTGCCAGCATAAACGATTGTTTCTGTGTTTGTATGTGCTATATATTTCTAAAGTGGAAAAGTCATGTATTGGGCTACCTGTGTAGTCGATAATGTCTATTTCGATTGCCCTATTTCACTATGACGGCACTGCTTGTTTATATGGGGGATAGAATCGCCAAATCCAATAGAATATTCAACAAAACTTGCTCCTAGCGAAACAGGTTACTCTAAAATGGCCTGGATTTCAGATATAATATGTGTTAATATGTACAAAAAAATATTCTGAGCGTTTGCTGGCTACTCTACTTCTCTTCGTGGATTGATACGGGTTTTAGAACAATTTTCGGTTAACTTGCGTTGATTTGACCCCGTTCGACGACCATGATCCTTTGCGTTTAAACAATGTGTTGTTTTGATGTGACGTCATAGTGAAATAGGGCAATTGGCCTTTTCCAAATCTAGTGGGGATACTCGGCCCATTGCCCAACTCGTTTTTAAAAAGGCCAATCCAAAGCCAACTCCACAATGCTTTGCTAATTCGAATAACTAATGCTTTTGATTGTGTAATTAGGGTTTAGTTTTATCGTACGAAGAGTTTCCAGGTGTCTCCAGCTTTGCCACCTGAAACGTTGTCGTCACACATGTACTCATTAAGCATATAAAATTCACGTTTGCCATGCCAATATACCACTTTTTTGTACGGTCTCTGTTGACCTACGTTGGTAGAAGATCCCCACTTATTGATAAAAGATGATCCACTATTGTGGCCCCATTTGGCACAGTTGGCTGCAAGCCGGGATTGGTCATCAGGTAGACGAACGAATGAACCACAAGCTTTTGCGTATGGGGAGTTGCTGATGATGAAGTACCTTGGAATATTATCATAATTATGAATATAAGTATGTAGCAAGAAAGCAAGTCTACAATTTTTTTCAACCTATAAAAAACAACAACGACAACCCACACCTCTCACCAACCACCCTACTGTCACATTTAACACACGAAAGGCATCCCTAATAGAGCTCAAGCAAGCATACTAAAACGCAGTAGTCCAAAGTACTCGCTCTCCTCACCTTACAGCATCGTATCCCAAGTCATTCTTGGCCGTCATGATATGAAATACTCTGCCAACAGATGCTTTACGACAGTAGTATCGTAACTGTGTGAACCCCATCTCTTGTTTAAGTTGCTTAAGCTGTGCTCGGTCAATGAACTCAAATCTTTTTAAGTCGGATATGGCTTTGTAGTGGGAGCGATATTTAACAGTGCCAGGCTTTGAACTAGAAAATGTTAAATCTTTAACGAGTGTCCAACCACCTAAAAAAAACACGGAAAAATTTAAAACATTAAATTAAATTAAATTTTAAAGAATTAGATACAGTATCACAGGGAGCCCATACATGTATCAACCCAACATATCTTACMTCCGTCAGTGGTCATGTCACAGTACACAGTGAATGGGGTTCCTGTGTTGCCTGGGTTAATCCAGTATCACAGGAAGCCCACACATGCTTCACATTAACACATCTTACCTCCGTCAGTGGTCATGTCACAGTACACAGTGAATGGGGTCCCTGTGTTGCCTGGGTTAATCCAGTATCTACCATCTCCAATGTCTTCTCCAGTCCATTTGATGTTCTGACATGAATGACCTGGGTAACTTGACGAGGAACCATTTAAGCCTGTTGAGGAGTAAAATGCTGTGTTATGATGTTTTTTGTTGATAATGTCGTTTAGAAGATTTCTCCGGAACTTCCACATTTTTAAAGGAAAGGGAATGTGCTCGGACGCGTCCGTTTCCCGCCAACATTTCACCTTAGTAATCATGCAGGTGAAGTTTAAGGCTTTTGTTAATAAKAAGGAGTCTGTCTACTTCAGTCTACGTACCGAACCAGGTCTCACAGTATTGACCTATGTATCCAGGTTTACACAGACACTCGTAAGAATCAGTACATTCATCGATGCCACACGTGCCGCCATTTTGACAAGGAGAAGAAGCGCACACGGGTAAAACCTGAAAATGAAACATCGCAACTTAATACAGAAATATTTCTAATGATAAATAATAATAAATAATAATTTGTACTTACGAACTGCTCAGCGTCATAGTACGTAAAGCCTGGTTTGATGATGTAATCAGATGACGCGGAGGCCTTTGTGTGGTCACTAAGCTCACATACGTGGAGTAGAGAACCTGTTTCTTGGTAATTGTACGACTTACAACCACTAGTTTGAAGACATTGGTCAGCACAGTGGAAACGGGAAGTGACGTCATGGTTTGATATCACGTGACCAGTCAGTGCTCGATCTATTTGGAATCAAAGATATTTAATCTCACACTGATTTGTCTTAAACTTTAATGAATTCAAAGTTTAAAAAATTTTTAAGACAATTTTATTTAAAAAATTAACGTTACCTTTTTGGGCTGTTTTGAAAAGCGCTATCTTTTTACAAGTGCCTCTGTAAGGACCGAGAGCGTAGGACGCTACTGCGCATGTCAGAAACACGAAGGCGGAAATATTTCTTGTTGTTTTCATCAAGAGACTTGCAAGCTGCAAAATGATAGCATGAATATTTAAATTATTTTTCTTTGTTTGGCTAGATAATTGAAACTCGAGAATTATCTCTATTATTGGTAAGTTTTATGTTGTACAGGGTTTTGTGTTTCTGTGGCTACATGATAAAGACAGGGATTAAGACCTTACTTTGAGTCTTCGATATAGCTGGAAGAAAATTGTTTCTATTTTTGGAATTTATGCATTTATTCTAAGACAGACATTTGCAATTTTCAGCGAAATTGCGACATTTTCGGGTCGAAACATGGAACACAGAAGACGAGACTCAAAGACATGCTAGAAAATGCCTATTTTAGAAATTTTAGGAAGAAAATCAGCGGATAATAAAGTCATATTTCTAAGGTCACTATTCGTGCTGTTTATGTTAATCATTAATTATCTGTAATTTACAGGGGCGGAAGCTGGCGGAGAAGTGCAAGAACTAAAAACAATAATGGAAAAAAATAATTCAGTTGGGGTAGATATTGGACTGAATTGAGGTTATTTTTGTCGTAAAAGTCAACTGAAGAAATTATTAAATGTACTGAATCTTTTTCTATGTGTTTATTTTAAATAAGGTTGTCGGAGCCAAAAGAGAAAAGATAGCGATAAGTAGTGATACCCGTCATAACAAGGCGTAAAGGAATTGTAGGCAAATACGTACAATCGAGGTGTTATAGATGGTTTCGTCGACTACATGAAACACTAAAAATCTATTTAAAAATATCCGTGTTCTTGAAAAGATGCTAGAATGATGCAGGGTTCGTGCTGAGGTAACCACTTAAAATTCAAGGACTATTCAAGGAGTATACAAGGACCCAAAAATGAACTTTCAAGGAGTATGTTCAGCTAACTATGCCAAGGTTTTACACGGTGGTTGCACATGGGCGACTTTCAGATTTTCCAATCTTTCTGACTAGATCTATTTCAGAACCATGCAAGTAATGATCAAAGCAAAAATTCAAGGAGTTTTCTAGGAGTTTCGCTAAAATCATAAAATTCAAGAGCTTTTCAAGTGCCCTTGAAAACGTGAATTAAATTCAAGGAGTTTTCAAGGAGTTTAAGGAGTAGCACGAACCCTGATGATATCAAGAAACACAAATCCAGATTTCCTTGGCTCTTGAAATGACTCGTTTCTCCTTTCGCCAATATTACCTATCGCATTTGGCTCCAACGAGTCTTTTTTCAGGAAATAAGTGCGGTATTTTCGACGGTTTTCAGATTTTAACTGTGTACTTCAGCATGCAGTAATGTTTCGTTAGACACGTTTACCTTTACTAGAGCTCGTTTGTCTTATKATAGTATTTTGCCAATTATATCACGTCAGCAAGTACTTCAGTGCAAACCAAGCCGAAGTCCAACGAAAATTTTGCTGAATTTGAAATGCAGGCTTGAGTCTTTCCTTATAGTCCAAAGTTTAACACCGCTACATCAACGCTGCGAAAACACTGATTCGACTGCCTTTGAAAATGAGCTATTTCCTCTTTTGTGCTCGTTCGAATAATTTATGAAGATTTGGCTTTCTTTATGGAAAGGCTTTCATTCATATCTAAGGTGATAATCAATAGACTTTCTTTATGAAATCAATGCAACCTTCAAATATTGATAGATGTACATATGCACCAATCACTGATTCACTTGGTTATCAATTAAATAGGAAGGCACACATGAAACCCTTTCTGTGTGTAAACATATTTATAGACCTCCCTTTATTATGCAGAACCGGAAAGAAAGTGCCAGAACCCGGAATCACTACTGACAGCGTTTGGCTGAGGTCAAACGTCGAATATGAGCCTTACCTAATGAAGTCCGACGCCGGTTTGCGATCTACAGTCGTTCAGCCGTTCCGAGGTTGAGGGAAAACTGGAGTCGAGTTTGCGTTGCACTGCATTTTGGAGCTGTTTTRAGGAATATAACAGCCCCAAAATGCAGTGCAACGCAAACTCGACCGCAGATTTCCATCAACCTCGGAACGGCTGAACGACTGTATCGCAAACGTTGGACTTCATTAATATTATTCTAGCATCTTTTCAAGAGCACGGATATTTTAATAGATATTTAGTGTTTCATGTAATCGACGAAACCATCTAAAGCACCTCGATTGTTCGGGTTTGCCTATAATTCTTTTACGCCTTGTTCGGACATTCATCGAGGCTCTGCCGCTGCAAATTACGAATACTTCATGAGGAAAACGGCACAATAGATATCGTCACCTCGTAGAGGTTCGTAAACTGAAGTGGATAAAGAATCGCCCTCATTTCCGTAAAACGATTTAATTTCCTTGATTTGCACTTCCGTAGAAATAAAAGTACGGAATTTATTCAAACCTAAATCAAATTAAACTGGGTTCAAAGATTAGCTTAGCCGTGAGTAGAAGTAAGATTATACCGTATTTGACAAAAAATTGTACAGTTTCGCAAGAAATATAATGGAAGGTTTTTGACTTTCGGAGTTGCTTGCTTTAGTGTTCCTCAGAAGTGAGGCTAAGCCCCCATATACTGGAGTTTTAAGAGTCGTCAGATGTAGCGTGAAAGCGGGAATAGTTTCAAAAAGTCCATGACTCTGAACATAAGATTTACAGAGTTTAGGAAAAATGACATTTCTTCTTAAGGTGACCGCCTACTTTTGAACGTTCGATTTGAGCCCACGATGTGCGCGCGCTCAAAACCCGCTGAAAAATCTACGAGATTTTATTGAAGGTCTTCCTCAAAGAATTAACTTACTAGAGAACAATACAACCTCAAAGGCTATGGTTTCAAGGCATTCTCAAACGCAGTGCCCACTATATGGAACAACCTACCTTGCGAACTTAAAGACACAACACTTTCAGAGTTATCTTTCAAGAAGAAACTGAAAACATATTTATTTGATAAAGCGTTGAAGCTTTAATTTTAATCTTTAAATGACATCCAATATTAATAATTATCACAAGAATTTATCTCTAATGTATTTGTATTTTTATATCAACCCCTAATATTTTACTCATCATACCATCATTCTTCCATTGCACGTCATCACGACCATTTTGGTGCCATTTAACAAGCTTGCTCATTAGCATCTATTGTTAACGGCACCACAATGCCGGGCCACACGGGGTTGAGACTGAATCTCATATTCTGGAAAAACACTGACTGACCACCATGTGCTATCCATCAGAAGGAATTCTATTGAAAACTTGATTTATCTGATGAATATTCTGCATGAGACAGGAAATGACGTATAGAATCAGGGGCGGACCCAGGAATTTCAGAAGGGGGTGACTATTACAAAGGTTTTACAAGGAATTCGAGGAAAAGGGGGGTGACTGTTACTAACGATATACTGAGAAAATTAAGCAAAAGGGGGGTGACTAGTCACCTATTTTACCACCCCTGGATCTGCCACTGAGAACACAGCATATAAGGGTTTGCATTTCATGTAATAACAGGTAACACAAACTGTTCGTATCTCAATCGGGGAAACTTTTATTCGATCAATATAATCAGAGCAAGCAAGATTTGTGTTTAGACAATGCTCTAAACATATGGAGAGCTGCCATTAGTATAGGTTATCACACAGTTCCAAATTATAAATTTAGAATTAATTTGCACGAGCTCGAGTGTGTCTTCCAAGAGTATCAAAATTGAGCTCTTTGAAAACACCCGAAAAAAGGGAAAAACAACACCGCCATCTTGAATTTGTAGAGAAGAAAGGCTAATCTGGTGCTTTGGCTCAACTACTACAATTTATATCCCTATTTCCTAGCCAATCAAAAGCGTAAAATACCCCTTTTTTACACAGGTATTTCAAATTTCTGAACTGGCATTACAGTTGGACTGCACTGCTTACAGTCAATGAGCTTCAATATTTTTTTCATAGAAGTGATTAACCAGGAAAATCAACAGAACCGAGGTCTCTCGCTAAGACCATGATGGCGGCTGTGGAGGATCACTAGGGATTGTGGGTAGTTTTTTTTTTAAACAGACGTCTTAAAACGAATCTTTTATTATCTTCGTTATCTGCTATCTTTTATATTCATTCATCATGCCAGAGTCGTTAAAAGGTTTCTTCTCGCCAATCTTTTATAGTTATTCTTTTTCATATTTTAGCATTACTTTACTGGCAAGCTTCTAGTCTTTCTCGGTCGCAGTCAGTACTGGAAGCACAAGGCATGCTGGGTGATTTTGTAAATATAAATAGAGAATAAAGTTTTTATGCTTCGTGAATATGAGTAAAAAAACCTGAAACACGGGAAAACTTTGGCTACCACCGCGATTACTTGTAGTACGAGCCCAGCCATTGGTTAACTAAAACCAGTCTAAAAAAGAAAAAAAAAAGATAATTAGGAAGAGAGTATAGAGACTTTGCTCCATCATGTGATGGCAACCATGACAGGAGGCATAACAGGAGGGAAACTGAATTCTTTCTCATGTAAATCAGATTAGACCAGATTCAATTGTTTCTGCCTCCTGTCATGGCTGCCATCAAGTGATGGTGGAAAGCTTCCGTAAGTACGAATTAAGAAGGGAAAAAAGAAAACAAGGAGGGAGAATGGGAGAAATGAAAGAAGGAAAGAAAAATGAAGAAGAAAGGGAGGCAGAGGGAAAAAATAGTAAGAGGAAAGAAAGGGAAGGAAGAGGGATAGAGAAGTTTTGATGGTCGGTTTTCAACATTTTCATCTTTGCTTCATCTTTGTTTCATATCATAAATCACCATCACGCCTGGTGAAGACTAGCAGTTTGCAGTCGAAACGTTGCAGTCCTTCTACGAATGCCTCTCAATCGTGAGACAAATGAATTGGTATCATAATAATCTTGCACTTAATATTTTACCTTCCTGAGTCTGTTAGCCCTTCTAGCCAGTCTAGTTCCCCACAGGTTTCTGTATCCACCAGTATTCCCCACTTTACTGTCATTGTTATTCACTAGCTTGTCCTCTGATTTTAACGTCCTACCAACGACGCCATTAGACTTCAATTCCCTGCCCTTCGCTACCTCTCCCGAGACATTTGCGACAATGGCTGGATTGGTTACCTCGGCTGGTGTTTTACCTATCGTTGTTGGATTTAACAAAGGCATAGATGACGAATTTGGTCCAACAATACGGATATTTGTATCATTTGGCGGTACGGTATGTGCAGGTATCTCTTTATCGGTTGGATCGACAACCGTACTCTCTTCTTTCCCGTCCCGTTTTTTCTCAAGGTCTCTTCTTTCCCTGTTTTCAGGCTTCTTCAACTCTTGTAAGCTCTTGAGATCGGACTCAACTTGTGCTTTTTTTTCTCGTAAATTCTTAATCTTCTTTTCGATATCTTGGTTCGTTGATTCAGTTTTTGAAATAGGCGCCTTCAATGCAGATTTTTGTGGAACGTCAAGTTTGGAGCTGAGATCCTTGTCCTCTTGGGTATCAGCGGGTGATTGATTGGCATCATCAGTGCTCATTAGCTGTCGCTTTTCATTCACTGGATCAGCTTCCTTTTCATTCTTCTTGATTGGTCCTTCAGCGGGTTTGTCAGCTGGAGGATGAGGTAGCGCCGGCTCTTTTCTCTGAGCGGCTTTCTCGCGAATTTCTTCGATTTTTCTCTTTCCTTCGCTAGGTTTTTCCGTTTTACTTTCAGCCGGTTTCTGCGTTGGGTTTGCTTCTTTTACCTCTTTGTTCCTCAATCCTACATCAGCCTTTACGCCATTGGCTTTAACGGCTTGTATTGGTCCAACTACAGGGTCACTAGTGTTTGGCAGGGTATTCACGAGAATGGCGGGTTTGATGGTGGAAGGAAGGGGGTGAGATGACTCATGATGGCTGTGATTGTTGACTGATAGAACAGAATAGGTACTAGCGACAAGACAAATAAGACCAAACACTATCGTGAATTTTGCCATGTTTTTCTGTTCGCCCTGGGTGTCCTGGATGGCGTTAAGGTACATAGAAGCAGGTAATACTAGGATGATAAGAGTACCAATGGTCGCGCCTGTGATGCCAAGAACGAACTCGACTGTGAAAAAAGTTAAGTGATCATTGTTATTGTTTTCTGTATCACTAACACCGTATCATCATAATCATCGTTACCATTATGCCTATCACTATGATCATCATCATCACCACCATCACTATCACTATGATCATCATCACCACAGCGGGGATCATCATCATCATCACCATGATCATCATGCATCTCCTCCATCATCATCACCTTCACCATTATCATCATGCTCATCATCATCACCATGATCATCACTATGATCATAATCACCATCATCATGATCACCACTACCACTACCACCACCATAATCATCATCACCATGATCATCATGACATAACCATCATCATGCATCCTCTCCACCATCTTCATGTCATCAGTCAGCATCATAAATTCAACAGTGCTTCTCAATAACAGTGTACACGCGCAAATGTTTACAATTTCCAACTTTACAAGTGTTTCCATGACATTGTGAGGACACACAAACTTTTCAAGAGCATGTGCCTAGATGTCATGTCATGGAAACGCTTTAATTGACGAATTATTTGATAAAGTGTTGTCTCGATCAGCTCGTAGCAATGAAAACAGTGGTACAATTACGACTAATTATTAAAGTAACTTACTCTGAGGAATGAAGATACCGACATTGAGGGTAGCACATATAACAACTACTGTTATGATAACAAATCTGTTTTGCGGCATGTAACCAGGACCGCCTGGCATGTTCTCTGTACCAGCCGTCTACAATGAAACAAAATAGGTAAATAAATGATTAACGTTTTGATAGCTCTATGGAATGGGGTTCATCATCATCACTACCATCACCATCACCATCACCACCATCCCCATGATCATGATTATGATCACCATCGCTATGATCATCATCACCACCACCATTACTACCACCATGATGACCATGACCATGATGACCATCACCATGATGACCATCACCATGATGACCATCACCATGATTACTATCACCATCACCGTCACCGTCACAAACACCATCAACATAATCACCATCACCATAATCATGATCATCATCACTACCACCAACTCATGTCTTAAAATTATGATATCTTGTAAGGGTTCAATAAAATCGTTGTTTGGTTATAAATTAAAACATATGAATATGTGCACAGTATTCACTAGTCTCCTACATAGCCACTATTAGAGTCGTCAGGAAATGCTCACTCCCCAACAAGTTAGGAGAGTGATGGTTGTGTGACAACAGTTAGTAGCAGCTGTGTAGCTGACTAATTATTCACTAATCAAAGGTTTTACCTGAGATCGGAAGAGTAAGGAGTTGATACTAGCTCTCATTGGAAATACCATAAGAGGAATGCTAACAAGGACTGACATCACAAAGCCTGAAGAAAAATTATTTTTTAAGCGACCATTCATTTGTTACCAGGGAGGAAAGGGTGGGGGTAGGGTTGGGTTTATAAAAAAATCAGGTAAATCGAGAACCAAAGAAACACTTTGCTACACCTTGTGCTCCTAAGCCTGTTTCTCTCTTGCTCTGCAACTACCAGCATGTTGATATCACAGTACAGAGACATGCGCGCACGTTTTATATACCTTTAATACTTCTACTCAAGTGCTACCATTTAACAAAGGAATTATTTTCAATAAAATAGTAAGTGGTATGAAACGAGACAACACTATGTCGATGTTCAAAACGTCTAAATAAATAATCCACTGTAATTCCAATTGGAATTTAGGAGTTGATTTTTGCAGAGGGAGGAAAGCCAGAGAACCCGGAAAACCCTCAAAGCACAGGAGAGAACCAACAAACAACTCTACTCACATACGACACCGAGCTCAGCGGGACTGGAACCCGGGTCGCATTGGTGAGAGGCGAGCACTCTCACTGCTTTGCCACCCGTGCTTCCTGGCATTTGTCTATCCAATGGCATTACATACCCATCTTTAAAAATTTTCCTAGCGAACCACTTCCATAGTTTGTAAGAATATCTCCCTGGACCCCTACATCATAGAACGTCACATATCCAAATAATCCAACCTGAAGTCAAAATAATCCACATATAAATTTTTGGGATATTATGTGCGGGTACCAATAATTAATGTTTTCGACTCGGACAATAGTGAACCAATCAGTGTTGTAGCAGTTTTCCCAGAGTTAAATTAGATTCTTGTCCCAAAAATACATGTAAACCTTGCTTCCAAAATGATTTTGAGAAGGTTTCATTAAAAGCAGCTTTGGGAATTTCTTGCAAGGGTCTGTAAAAGGTACTAGATTTGTGCTGTGCACCAGGACCCCCTACTTGTCATAAGGTACAGTAGGGTCACCCTACTGCTAGTGCTACCTCTTGTTTTTGGCGTCCCCTGGGAAAGGAAAACAAAAGACTTGTCCCTAGCACTAGGGTCACCCTACCTTCATGTGAACAGTCTCTCATAAGGTAGGGTGATCCTACTGCTAGGGCTTCCTCTTATTTTTTGTGTCCCCTGGAGAAGGAAAACAAAAAACTTCTCCCTAGCACCAAGGTTGCCCTATTTTCATGTGAACAAGGCTAAATTATCTACTCACACAAAGATAGACACAGGAGATGATTTTAATACCAACAGACACAACATTTTCCATCTTCTTGACTGAAGGTTCTGGCAAGGAATCATAAAGCCCAAACAGCTGCCTAGTAAGAATTATCAAGAAAGAATGTTTGGTGGCAGGAATAATACATTCACAGGGCTAAAAAATATGATCAGTCAGTCACTAGTCTCAATGATCAGCCAAATTAGTTTTATCTAGTCACACCTTGTTTCTGGTCAAAACAACATGGTACACCATTTGGCTGCCTTGTCACATGAGTACAAAACACTCTATATTATTAATAATAATAGTAATCACCATCATCATTATTCTCATCATCATCATTGGATAACAATGTGGAAAATTGCCTACACATAAATTTCAGTAATTCACATGATTTTATTCATTTATTCACTAATATATGGTTGTTGTTAAATTAATAAGCTTACGTTTGACAAGAAAAAGCTAACGAAAATATGGGTAAACACTGTAGAAGTCCTGCTGGCCTCCAGAAGTTCAAATGTTTTGTCCAAGTACCTTCCAGTAGATGTGGCAGAGAACTAAACATTACCTAATTTAAAAAAAAGAAAGTTGTAAGACTAATTATTTGTAAGGATTGGTTTCTTAAAACTATAAAAAGCATGGGAATAATGCTGTATGGAATCAATAGACCTCTTTACCTTCGTATACAAATTGCCCATTTCAGACCACATGGCCTTTCCTTGAGAATTGTTCTTTTGTGACTAACATGTTAAAATATTTACATACAGTATGGAAGAATGAACTCCCGAGAGTGGCAACACAATGAAGCTTAAGAGGTCTATTTACTGATTTGAATTTATTTACTTACATAAAGTACAAAGGTTGCATAAAATCCTAACGATGTAGCACTGATGGAGGATAAACTAGAAATATCCCTCATTAAGGACAGTGGCAGCCCAATACATAATGCCAATACTATCATCAATAATGCTCTTAATGTTGGGGTTTGCTGGAGATAAATTTGAAAAATAAAAAAAGAAAGATTTGAGGTGATTTTATTACTTATAGACAAAAATTAATTTAATAATTATCATCACAATTCAGGGTTATGGCTCAGACAATAGCAAACTGATATCCCTTTTGGAATAGTTTTTCCAGTAGAATTAAAATATTTTCCTACAAGCAACTGCTCAGTATCTGCTTTAAAGAGTACTTACTACAAAGATTACAGTGTACAAGTCATTTAAAATTTTTTTGACAGGACAGTAAACAATTGGCCACTTTAGAAATGAACAAAAGACTGGCATGACTTTTGAATTTTAATATAATTAGCAAAAGAGCTTTGTCATCTGATAAAGCACCTCAATATTAGTACATCTGTGAAATTTGAATGCGTTTCATAAACAAACCCAGAGATACAAGCCTTCAAAAGTGTGAAAAATGTATGGAGAATGTATGGTTGTGTGGGACAACCATCCTCTGTAAACACACATTCTTTGTAAATTTTCGACACTTTTTAATAACAATATTTGGGTTTGTTTCATCCAATCATGTTCATATTTGCCAGACTTACTAATCTTGAGATGCTTTCTCAAGTGACAAAAGCTTTTTTCTATTAATGAAATTAAAATTCAAAATTCGCCCCAGTCTCTTGCTCGTTTCTAAAGTCGCCAATAGACTTTTCCTGAATTTGCTTGGGTGACCACGAAATAATGGTTTGAAGTCGAGACTGAACTTGATTCTTTTATTCATCAAGTCCAACCTTGACTTAAAGCCATCTTTTTGTGATCAGTCAAGCGAAGTCTATTGAAACAATTTCTAATAATCATTTGTTTGAACTGTAACCATATTCTTGTTGCTTATGAAATCTATTAGAAAGTATTTAGTTGAAATGAAAAGTATTATTATCATTATAAGGATATTGATATCTTACCTGTATGCCAAATAGATGGCTAAATAAATCGGGTGCAAGATCACCTATAATGACGTGAAATGCACATAATGTGCCTGCCATTACACCAATAATACTGTAAGAAAGAAAGATCAAAAACACATTTAGATGAAATACCTTGTTATAGACTCCTGGCATGAGACAATGAGGAAGGTGAATTCCTCACAGGTAGCCCAAGCTAGGCTCCTGTGGTGTCATATTATAAGAGAACGTATGGTACCGGTAATGCTTAAAAACCTCAATAAAATTTTCAAAATGTGAAATAAAGTAAAGAAATGTATAACATTACACCAAAAGAACCCAGCTTTGGCTACCTGTGAATTTGAAAGACAAAACACGAGACGTTCGATCTAATGAGAAATGCAAACCTATTGTTATGTCCTCTATATTGAGCTGCATTCCGAAGTGCTTAAAGGGATCAAAATTAATATAATAACAATATTTATCATAAAATGTAATTCAATGTAATTGTTAATTTACCATGCTTCTACTGCAAATTTTCCAGCATTACCATAAGTGAATTGAGCTGAAAGATAACAAATATATCCAACATAAAATACCCCTCAAATTTTATTGAACAATTAAACAACTTCTGACTTGATCTAAATAACTATCTGGGCATGGCAAACACAAAATCTTTGACCCCTTTAGTCCTTCTCTTAATGCTGGTGGTGGTTTCTATCCCAAGTCTCTCAATTTTATAAAAGGAAAGCATCTTCATCAAATAACAATGAATTATATAGAAAGGTAAAGGAGATGATAACAGGCTGCTATTTGTTTACTTATAAACATTGACCAGCTGTTTCTGAAATACATTTTTGATAATGATGAAGCTAGAGGAGACTGTATTTTTTTGATTCTCTTGGCTTATCAAAAAATGTCTGTAAATGAAATAAGCTAAGCCAGCTCTTACAGATTGAATAGAGGCTTTGTACTATCACACGATTAAAGCCATAACAGGAAGCACAACAATAGAATCTTTTCCCCAAAAGAAACTGGATTCTTTCTCATGTAAATTCGATTAGATGAGATTCAATTGTTTCTGCCTTGTCATGGCTGCCATCACACATGATGGTGCAAAGCCTCTATAGCTGCTGCAACTTGACTAACACTCACCTAAAGACTCGTAGCTCCTTCTTCGCCCTAACTGACTAGATATAAGTAGAAAATAACATGTTTTCCTGGTGAAATAACCCATTGTTATCATGGCCAAGGGGCCAAGCAAAATACCACACTGAAAAAAAAGTTAACAAAAAAAAAAAAAAAATTAGAATAATTTTATTATTCTCTCTATTGCATCTTGATAATACACTACTACCAGGATTCTTTTTGTAGATATTTTGGTTGCATATCCAAATTATTATAATTATTTTCCCCCATTTCAGACCACATTATTTTTATTCCTTAGAGTATTTCTTTGTTCAAAGGTTGCATAAGACAAGACACATGATATGGTAGCATTGTACACTGCTAATGTGTCCTCTTCCAACACAGTGAGTCCAATGGGTCAGGTTGCTGGTTCGAGCCCTGAAGTTGCCACATGTGAATTGAGTTTGTTTGATGTGTTTTTTTATGGGTTTTCTGGTTTTCCTCCCTCCATAAAAATCAACATGTGAGTTGAGAGTTGTGTGTATAGAATATGAATGTAGTAAGGAGTGTGAATGGAGGATATACACTGCCCTACGATCTTCTAGCTTTAAAGCCTACTCTTTATAAAGAAAAGATTCATTCTTTATACAACTCAAACAACAAATTTTATTCTCAAGACAATAACACATGATCTGAAATAGGAAAACATTATACCCAAGGTGAAGAGGTCTATATATAACACTATTATCTTATTGAATATAAAATTGAATCTTTATAAGGATTAATGTATGAGAAAACTAGCTGGGCAACAAGATATATTGATTAAAATTATTTCAGGACTGCATTTAATTGCCATAGTAACGACAGCACCAGCCCACTCACATCCTCACATTAGGTGTTAAGGTTTCGATGATGACCTTGAGGAGCTATCATTTATAAGGGGATTGTCTCTTGGTTCAACCACTTATCCCAATTTGGAGGCATACCATCAATGTACATACAATATTAATATTATTCACTCACGGTTATTGCTGATAGTACCCTAATATGTAACCCCTAAAGTTCTCTCTACTGATCATAAATGTAAAGTGCATTTTGACAATGTGAAATGCACTACATACACTACATAAGAACTCCTCAATATGTACACCCCCTTCTCTAACATAAGAAATGTCCAACAGGATTTGGGCTAGATTAAATGATTAAACGTTAYTTGTATAAAGAATTAGCTTGATATAGAGGATCCTACAATGTAGTTTCGATGTGCTTAGGATAAAATAAGACAAAATAATCTATTGATGCTAGTTTTAAAGATATTCTATCCTAAGATCTAAGGATAGTATTCAATATGCTACGTGTATCTTGTTTAAAACTCAAAGTCGAGTACTGTTATCAATCAACATAAAGTAGCTTTGATAAAAGTAATTGAAAAGATAAAAATATGTAATTGTGAAGAGATATGCATACGAAAAAGCTATAAACTGCCACATTTACGATAGCAAACTCGATAGATTCTCTGAAAAATATCAACGAATTTCGAAATAACAGATTTCAATCTACTTACTTGATGAAAACAGTAAGGAATAGATAAAACACTAACTCCAATAATACTGTTCATTAGATTGAACAGTGTTGGACGATGTGGAGCCATGATAAAGTCGTTTTAGAAGCTAGAGTAAGGTTGATCTTGTGCGTGGTTGAGCGACTGGACAATCTTCATCCAGCCGCCATTTTGTTGTCCACGTATTTATGAGTTAAGCAGCCTGGCAAACCAATCCCTACCCTCCCGTCCCTAGCAAATGCTTTTTTGCCGGGATAAAATACCCGACAGTCTTTTCAATTTCCCACAAATTCATTTAAAGAATCTCATATGTAGACTTCTTTTTGTTTCTTAGGAAYCTTTTTTTTCCCTGTAATTTTTATTTTCGTTATAAAATTGGCGAATTTATTTTTGTATTTATCAAATGAAAGAGGATAGTGAACAATCAAAAATAAAACCTAATAATAATTTTGATCGGTAGTTACTGATAGCTTGTGAAAAGAGAGACTTGACATCATAAGAAATAAGTAAACCTTACGGCAAAGACACGGCAAACAAAAAAAGACACTGAATAAATATAGCTATTTGCTAAGAAAGGTCAAGAATCTACCTACCCCTCCCCTCTCAGTTTGATCTCGGTCCGGTTGTATTTCCCAGGGGGCATTGCGGACGTTCTCCCTCTTCGGCCTCCATAATGGTAAGAACAGTCTTAGAGAAAAATGTCTTACTATCTAATCAAATCTCTACCCATCGTCAATCCATTTGGTATCCAAATTCAAGTAAATGAAAGTTTAATTACAGTTCTAACTTCCTGTCTTTTTTTGTAGGGGATAGATATAAAGCATAAGCACCAAAAAAAGACTTGCCGTCGGGCGCCAGTAACACAGAACCTGTACATCAGGTTGCTAGTGAAGGTTAGTTTATACGATTAGATTATATTTTCAGCGTTTAAAATTCGTTGCGACTAAACACTGTCATTCTTGACCACAGCTCTACCGTTTTCTGGCCAGGCGTACCAATGCACCATTTAATAAAGTTGTACTGAAGAGGCTTTGTATGAGCCGAAAAAATCGTCCCCCACTGGCCTTGTCTCGTATCGTAAGTAAACTCAGTTAGTTTACCTGGGAATTATATTTTATGTATCGTTCAATTCCAGGCATTTTGGAAAGATATAGTTTTAAACATGATGCATCTCATAGACCAGATTTTATAAGATTTTATATGACTGTGAAAATGCTTATAGTATAAACGCTGTATTGGGACAATATCCAGCTACCTAATCACAGCACAAGAGGATAGGTTCTTCCAGTCAGCTCAGATATAACACTTTCATGGTTAATGCATAGCACATTCTTACTACAAGTTCTTCGCAGTCTTAATTTTATTTTATTTTAATATACGTCATAACACAGATAGAGCAGATTTTGTATGACTGTGAAAAGCTCAGTTTTGTATGTATGCCTTTCTGCGACTGTGGTGTTTTCTAGAATTTTGATTGGCTGTTTTTTTTCTTGCACAATGACCATTTCCACACTGTGTTCATGCCATGTTTTGGGAGTTTGATAGGATGGAGAGTAAATTCTCATGCAATGTGATTGGTCTGGCATATGCCTTGCCAATGTTCTTGCTGCTTTTTACATTCATACGAAATCTGCTCTATGCAGTGGTTGCTTGTTTTGACATACTGGATAGCATGGGTGATAAATCAGGGAAGTGTCCACCTCTTACTAATGTGACCAAGGATCTATTTTCCCACTTGTTATTGCATGTGATTTGCTTGTTGATCCTCTCTGGTACTTCCAGGGTTTTTCCTGGTATCTCCTGTTTTCCTCCCTCTGAAAACAATGACAACAAAACAGTTCTATAAAATTCCAATTAGAATTATTCTAGTGGATAAAGAGCCAGTGTCTGAAACAATTTTTCTTGTTATTATAGGGCTTATTGTTCAGTTGTTAAGTATTTTACTTTGATGTCTCTAGGTTCGCAAGATGAAAGCCCCAGGATATGAAGGCAAAACTATTGTTGTTGTTGGAACTATCACTGATGATGCCAGGATCTTTGAAGTTCCTGCTTTGAAGGTTTGTCAACTGCAACATATTCCAGGGCTTAAGATAATGGCTGGCCAGTCGCCGGTCAAGATGACTGCCCAAATTAGTTTTAACTTGGCCATATCTGGCTTAATGTTACTGGCGAAAATGACTGACAAGGCAAAGATTCAACTGGACAAGTTCCAATTCTGGGCAGCCATTGTCTGATATCCAGCTGTTATTTTAAGTCCTGTATTCCCTACACTGTATATTTTATGATTCTTGGGGTTGAAAATTATGTTGTGGGGATAAGTTGGCCCTAATGATATGAGCTGCATATATGATAAATCTCTCCACTCACCATTGCGACCTTTGTTTGAGTCCTGACTGGCTTGGTGTCGTATATAAGTAGAGTTGTTCTCTGTGCTTTGAGGCTTTTTTTCTGAGTTTGCCAGTTTTACTTATCCTGCAAAAATTAAWTTTTAAATTCCAATTGGAATTTATTGAATGAAGAGAAACTCTGTAGAAATGCCACTGTTAAATCCCGTTTATTATTATTACTTATAATAATTATTATCCGTTTTTTTCTTGTACAGATTTGTGCCTTGCGAGTGACCGAGGGTGCTCGTGCTAGAATTCTTAAGGCTGGTGGAGAGATCATTACTTTTGACCAGCTGGCTCTCCGTGCACCTCTTGGCCAGAATACAGTCCTCTTACAAGGTATGGTATTTATGGGGCTGAAAAACATGGCGATGCACAAAATTGTCCAAGAAAACAAACATGGCTGCTTGAAAACTTAGCATCTAACACCAAAATTGGTCAATATTTTCAGGAGAAAACATTCGAAAAAGTTTAGAAAAGTTCTTCATACAATAAAAACAAAGCTTACGTGTAGGAATTGATTAAACTTTTAAGAAATGAGCTTAAATTTTTGCACTTTTATGGCTGATTTTCCCCCAAACCTTAGGCAATTTTAATAGGAAGCAGGTGAGCCATAATTGTGTCCATGACCTGCGTTTTTCAACCCTGTTTATGGTATTATATAAAGTTGGTGATACAGAAAAAAATATTAGGAAATCATTGCTTTGAGTGTCATGTCTGCATAGGATGATACTTGTCACGACGGTCTTCTTAAGCCATAAGGCACTTGATGACACTGTGAACTCTGATGTAGACATAGCTGTAAAAGTAATTTTTATGTTTTGGTAAAATATCTGAGCTTGTTATAAAAGCTAATGCCCATTATTAATCTTGCCAGGACCCAGAAAGGTACGAGAAGCAGAAAGGCATTTTGGACTTGCTCCTGGTGTACCTCATAGCAGCTCCAAGTAAGTGAATGAAATTTATGTTAATTTACATTCTGTATGTTTGGTAATTATTACTGCGATTCTTATTTTTCTGTGAATTCCAATGTCTTGTTGTGAAGCCAGCATGCTTTTGATCTACAATTTGAGTGCAAACAATATAACCGTGAAACTTWAGTAATACTAAATAGCACAATTTCATGCAAATTCCATTGTTTTCTATTGTTTAATTAGCACTATTTTGTACTATTTAGTAAATAGTGTTTCACGGATTAATTGTTTGCACTCTAGCTGTTTATTTTGTATATATTATTTACTGAACAGACTTCTTTCTAATATCAACAGGCCTTTTGTAAGATCCAAGGGACGAAAGTTTGAGCGAGCTCGTGGCCGACGCAAGAGCTGTGGCTACAAGGTGTAAAATAAAAATGACCACCAAAGACAATAAAATATCTTCTGCTGTAGTTGATAGTTGTCATTTTTGTTCAGACTTCTTGTTTGACCACTTATCACAAAATATGGGAGGAGTGTCTGTAAAACTCTAAATTCCTGTACTTTCGTTTGGAATGTTTTTTATTTTATTTTTAGTGGTTGGAGGGTGTCAGGGGAAAGAGTTGTTGGCTTTCTAAAGAGCAATCACTCCATCAATTATTAGTGTTCTATTTGGCTGCCATTACGAAATTTGGTGATAAACACCCCTTTACTAATAATTATAAGCATAAGTGCACCCTTACGAATTAATGCTGCTTTTGAATTGGCACTATTGCTCGAGTGATTTTCCTTTGCCTGTGAAAGAATAGTGAATGTAATACTTAGTGGTAAGCATAAACTCCATTATTTTCTTTTGTTTTACTTGCACATGTCGGTCACTAATTATGCAACTTTGTTTCACGGGCAAGTTAGTCCAGTTCCGGACTTCCCTTCAGTCCACTCTGGAGGACCGAAAGGGAGTCTTGGACGACTAGGGCCAAATTAGCTTCCTACATCTACGTTGTGTGACAGACAATAAGAACGTCTCCTTAGGAGGCTAGAGCCAAGTAAAATCATTCTTGAGTGATAGTCAAAGTATGTAAAACGAGAAAACAATGGAATGTGTCCACTGCTATGCATGCATTCACGGGAGAAAGGAAAGTCACTATAAATATGTATAAGAGTATATTAGTGATAGCCAATCAGTAGAGAGAGATCAAAAACATGAATTTGACTACAGTTGTGCATAGACTATCTTGCCTTTGATGACTGTTCGGTGTTTGCAAGTAGCTACGGCCTGGTAGGTAGCATAAAAACTTGGTAAGAACTGACATAGACGTGAATGTTTCTTTGGGTATTGGGTTTCCTGTGTTGTGTTAACGCACAGGAAACCCAAGTTAAACATATTGCATGACCAGTTTCCGTGACTAGGGGAAGTGTGCCATCTTTCTTTGAATTAAAACGCTCCGAATTTCTCCACTGCTTAAAAAAATACTCTCTACGACTACTAGATGTCTGTGCTGAACCAGTTTTCCATTTGGGATACTTGTGATTTGGAAGCGATCTGTTTGGACTGAACGCGGGAAAGAGGAGGATTTATATGACCGACTATGCTACCATGCTGTATGTGTGTCAGCAAGCGTTTCTTGAAATACTTTAACTCTTTTAATTAGTTATATTTCTTTTTTTTTTTTTTTTTGCTTTTGGATATTTATTAATGAAGGTCTCACAAAAGCAATTTTAAAGCTGGTTTGTTAACAAGTATTATCCTAACCGGGCTGTAAGTTTAAAGTAAATATATTTTCAGGCAATTATATAGTGGTTTTACTTCGGCCCGTGTGGCAACGTGATACATATTAAGCTTAGTAGAAGACACCAATTTCTTTGTTTTCTTTTGTTTTACTTTGACTGCTATTCGCTAATTATACGACTTTGCTTCACTGGCCAAGTAAAATCACTCTAAATGTGAACACCTCTTTATATGTGTATATACATACACCTAATTCAAAAAAACGTTGTCATCGCCAAAGGCGATTATAGGCGAAAAGCGATAGAATATATGTCATTTCAAGATCCAATGGCTTGTGTTTTTTCTTCTTATTCTCGTCAAGAGTATGGACCTTCGTGCTGAGACTGATTCGATGTTCTTTGTATTCAACGAAACCATTTTCATGTCGGAATGACCTATCGCCTTTGGCAATGACAACGTTTTTTGAATTAGGTATACACACTTGATTGAAGAAAGGTCATGCATGTTGTGTATACAATAATGCAAACACCTAATGAGATGCAAGATATCAAATGAGATGCAAAACTTAAAAAGTAAAATTCTTTGGTCTCGCTTTTCTTCTTTTGTATCAGAAACATATGTATTGCATGCAATATATAAAAGGATGTAAAAATATTTTCCACAAACTTTTGTGGTTAAACAATCATATTTAGGCATGTTTTACATTCTTCACCTCATTTGATATCTTGCACCTCGTTAGATATATTATGTAAAAAATGTATAAGCTACAACCTTTGTGCAATCAAGTGTGTATATATATATATATATATATTTAAATATGAATTGTATTCATGTAGTGCTGTTATACCCACTAATAGCCCTATTGTGCTATTTTTGACTAGTCCGCCCAAGAGATTGCAATGTGTAAGTTTAACTGATCAAAACAAGAACCAGGTAGTTTGAAGTCATTATAGTCAAAGCATCTGAACATAGAACAGTAGCTGGTTGACATGGCTTTGAAACTTGAGGATTTTGACGTATCACCTACTCTGGGATTCGTACCCGACAACCCTCTTGTAAGTTGTAATTCATGTTTTACTAGTAATTCATAGTTCTGACTCCCCTTAGTTACCATTTCTATGTCTCACAAGCTCAACAAATTAGCTAGAACATCTATAACTCTGACTGTGGAAAATAAATCAAACAGAAAAAAACTGTTGCAACAGTGATCAGTGTGATATCGTCTGAGTTGGAACTATTCATATTTATTAAGGAGGCTCAAAATGCTCTCCTTGAGTATGCATGTACACAGCTTAAATGATGAAAGAAATTAATGGTTAAATTTTTTTGGATCAGATTTTCATGTCTTTAAAGCAAAATAGTTCAAAAAACAGTTCAGTCAAATCTTTATTTTGCTTGCCTGTTCAAGAAAACCATTTAGGAGGGGAGGGGTGTACATGTATCTGGGCAGTGGGAATGTAGTTAAACCAAGAAAAAATTCAAAAGCAGTTGCTGATCAAATTGCACTAAATAACCCCATTGATCATAATATAAGTTGGCTTCAAAAATGGATGCAGCTAATTTGTGTGTCAAGGAGATATGGTTCCTGCAGATCTTGCAAGAAAAAATGTGATCCCACTGTGCAAACTACTGTACCATTCTCTCAATTGTGTTTTTTTTTCCCTCAAACATTTTAATGTTAAATTAATGATTTCATTTAGGTAAGGCTTCCAGAGTATTTTGATCCTTGGGAAAGACTCTGTGATGAGCTTCCAACCCTATGGAAAAATAGAACCACACGTTCTGCTATTGAAAAGGTTAGTGTTTTCCAATATAAACTCCTCCTAGAAGCACAGCTAGGAGTGAAACAACAAACAACCTTAATTTCTCACTGACCTGTTATTATTACTGTGATTTTCATAAACATGCAACTCTGTGTCTGCGATCTGCACACTGACGGTACCTTTCATATTTTTGACTGTCAGCAGCAAAAAACAAATTTCAGTGTACAACTCAGAGACACAGAATTTGCATGTTTGTAGTAAAGCCTAGGGCAAACGTCGAACTTTCCATGCACTGAACTTATTAATAATTTTAAAAAATCGTCCTTTTTTCACGAGGGTAGCACTTAATAGCCAGTGGCTAACAAACCTGTGGCCCTCATTCCATGATCGAATTGGAATTTAGGAGTTGATTTTTGTGGAGGGAGGAAAACCGGAGAACCCGGAAAACCCTCGAAGCACAGGAGAGAACCAACAAACAACTCTACTCATATACAACACCGAACCCGGCGGGACTCGAACTCGGGTCGCATTGATGACAGGCGAGCGCTCACACCGCTACGCCACCCATGCTTCCCTGATTTACATCAAAGAATGCTGCCTCGTTATCACCTGATATCCATTGTTTTTAATGAGTTCGGTGCATGGAAAGTTTGAGGTTTGCCCTAGGCCTAGGTCAGATTGAAGAAATATAGTTCTTTCTTTGCCTCTACACAGCTGCTGAATATTCAAATCCTCTAATAATAGCTTGTTGTGTGTGATATCAATAGTCAGGTCATGCCATTACTCAGACATTTTATGCCCTGAAGAGAATAGAAAGTGTATGGGAAACAATGACATTGAACTTGGTTTATTAATATAGATATTGATTTCATGCTAATGCATTTTCAAATTACTTATAAAAGATTTTGTTTTTTTTAATAAGGGATAACAGATAAAGCACTAAGGCTTGCTTCCAATCTCACCCTCAATTCCTAATCAATTTGGAAGAAAACTGGAGAATCTAGAGTAAAACCCTTGAAGCAGAGCTAGAAAAGAAATGACAAACAACCTTAATTACTCAGATTACGTCACCAAGACCTGCTGGAAAAAAATTTGATTTATGTTGCATTGGTGAGAGGTGGGATGCATTRCCAAAATTAACCCCACTTGTGCTTCCAACTGAATAGTATTTCTCAAAGTATTTCTTTCTTTGCCTCTACAGCTGCCACTACTAGACTATGCCATACTTTCATCTCAAAAGGAGTGGCAAAGAGCGGATGTTGTTTTGACGGCAATGGCTCACTCTTACGTCTGGTGCTTCGGGGAACAAGGAGCTGTAAAGGTCAGGCAAAAGCAAGCTACAGATTAAGTAAATTTCAAGCTTTTAACTAGATCAATGTTGCATTTTTTTTACAGATTCTACCCAAGTGCATTGCTGTTCCTTTGTTTGGTGTATCAAGACACTTAGGTAAGTTTATAATGATGAAGAATGCTTTGGGTACAAAATGGTTGCTATAGGCATTATATCTCCAGGAGGTTCAAGTAAATGACAAAATATGGACTTTAAATGACAAAAAGCACTGGCAACTCCATAAACAAGTCCATAACTTGTTACTAGACTTATTAGTAAAGTAATTAATGATGTAAGGTTTTTTCTCTTTTCAAAGGTTTGCCACCAATCATAAACCACTATGTGTTTGCCTTGTGCAACTGGAGACGAGCAAGTGCTGACAGGTTAGTAAATTGTTGTTTACYGTCCTGAAGTTGGTCTGGATATATAGGGAAAAAACTGTACCCAACATCTCAAATAGTGACCAAGGAAGTTAGGCTGAGGGCACAGTTTATTTCTATCCAGACCTACTACAGGGTGGTAAATAACTTATTTATTTCCCCCCATTTAGGGAAAAATAAACAGGTATATATTGGTTTTGTTGTTTAACAAGCTATTTTCCTATGTGAGCGCTTGGATGATGTATACCTTATTTATCAGGATACTCGAACACTGGCTGAGATAGGGAATATCCCCTGCTCATGCACACAGCCTATGAACAACACCAGTTTCTTGTAAAATTTTTTTTGAAAAAACCTATTTACTTTTCTGATTATTGATTTCTCATAAATAATGTCTTATATCGTGTATACTTAAGGTGACTGCCTACTTTTGGAAATTGATTTAAGCTTTTTTTAAAACTTCGATTTTCCGAATTGAAATTTAATGCTGATTCCAAATCTGGAAAGAAAAATAGGGTGTCCC